GGAAGTGGTGCTTCCCTCTGTGATTCAGTTGACAGTATTACAAACAGCTCCCCAAGCCTCCTTCTCCTCTTGGGGTCCTCCATTCTGTGATAGCTCCATTGACTCCTCTAGCCAAGCAAGGCATAAAGTAAAATAGCCCTCAATTCTTCACTCTTTTCCACCTCACATACAATAAACACGTCCGCTCAACTTGTTAGAGTGAAAAACATCTGGTATTTAAGAGATCTGTCCACCACCGCCCTCCTTATCTCTCATAAGGGCTCAGCCTGACATGGTGAGTTTAACACGTGAGACACGAGCCCCAATATGTCAGATATTCCTTGAGTCACTTAGTGTTTAAATATTTGACCGCTGCTGACAGTTCAGCTCTGCCCCTTAATAATGCTAGGTTCAGTATAAAATTCTGTATTCACAACTAATATTTTGAGGGTATTTCTGCAGTATTTTCTGTCACCTCTTTTTGCTCTTGAGAAGTCCAATCCCAGTAAGCTTGTCAGTGGAGGGTAACTTGCATTTTTCCATTAATTTCAGAATTTTTTAAAAATTTATTCTCAATTTCTTTACCAGGGTAAAGATATGATTTCATTTTTAATTTCCTGCACTTTAAATCCATGTTATTCTTCATTTCTGTAAAAATTGCAGCCACTCTCTCTTCAAGGTTGCCTAACGCCATTCTCACTTCTTTTATCCTGAAACTGTGATAGATGTCTGTTTACTCTATTCATTGTATTTCATTTGTATATTCAAAACTTTTCTATTTTTCCATTTCTGATCTTGCTGTGATGCTTTCTAGAAATTAAATCCATATTTTCTTCCAGTGATGTCAGCAGGATGGCAGAGTAGGAAGTCCCAGCTCTCATTCCCACATAGAAACACTGATAAAACAACAATATTTGGGCCAAAATATCTTTAAGATATTTTGATTCCGGAATCCAGTTAATAATTTGCAACACCTCGGGGAAGCATCAAACCAAGAAAAAATACTTTGAAATGGATAAAAAGAGCAGTTTCACTTTACCCACGTCACCCTTCCCCCAAGCCACTGAGAAAGCAGCTCAGCCCAGGATTTCTCCCTAGGAGAAAAGAGTGGGTGAAGCTGCATCTGAGGGCGCTGACCCAGAGACCTACTGGTGTCTCACCTAACCAAGAGAATGAACTGGCAGATGCACATGGGGAAGCCGAGAACAGCAGATAGGGGCTCTCTGAACAGGCACAGCCCTGAGACTGCTCCCCCAGGAGGGAGGGAGAAGAGTGGAGCTTGCACCCAACATCCTAATATTTCAGGGCACTGCCCTCTGGGAAAAAGATGCATGAGGTGTGTGGTGGCCGACACCACTCTGCAAGATTGAGAGAAGGTGCCCAGCCTTGAGACTGCTCCCCCAGGAGGAAGTGGAGGAGTGGAGCTTGCACAGTCACAGAAAATGTGTGATAGGCTCACAGAAGCTGTAACTGGGCTGATTGGTGGTCTTTCCCTGCCAGAACCAGACCATAAAGACTGGAAGAGGTGACGGCTTCTTCCAATGTGAAACACCAAAGCAAAGCTATAAGAAACACGAAGAATCAGGGAAATACAACACAGCCCAGGATAAAAATCTCCATTGACTAACCATAAGAAAAAGGAGATCGATGAGTTGCCTGACAAATTATTCAAAATAATTATCTTAGTTATTTTAGCTAACTAATCTTCAACAAGTGTACCAAGAACATAAAATGAGGAAAGGATAGTGTCTTCAATAAATGGCATTGGGAAAGCTAAATATCCACACAAACGGGAATGAAATTGGGCCCTCAACCCACATGATATACAAAAATCAACACAAAAGTAAAGACTTAAATGCAAGACCCCAAACCATAAAACTACTAGAAGAAAACATAGGTAAAAAGCTTCTTACGTCGTTTTGGGCAATGATTTTTTTTTGATGTGACATTAGAAGCCCAGGCAACAAAAGCAAAAATAGACAAGTGGATTGCATCAAACTAAAAAGCTTCTGCACAGCAAAGGAAAGAATCAATGGAGTGAAAAGGCAACTTACAGAATAGGAGAAAACTTTGCAAACCATGTATCTTAATTTTCAAAATATATAAGGAACTCAAACAACTCAATGCTAGAATAATAATAATAATAACCCAATTAAAAAATGGCAAAGGACCTGAATAGGTATTTCTCAAAAGAAGACATCTAAACAGCCAATCAGTATGTGTAAAGATGCTCAAATCACTAATCATTGGGGAAAAGCAGAGCAAAACCACAATGAGATATCACCTCACATCTGTTACAATAGCTGCTATCAAAAAGACAAAAGATAAAAAAGTTTGGGCAAAGATGTGGAGAAAAGGGAACCCTTGTGTACTTTTGGTGGGAATATAAATTCGTACAGCCATTTGGGAAAACAGTACAGAGATTTCTCAAAAATTGAAAAATAGAACTACCATCTGATCCAGCGATTTCACTTCTGGGTGTACATCTCAAGGAAATGAAATCAGGATCTCAAAGAGGTATCTGAACTTGTATGTTCATTGCAGCATCATTCACAATAGCCACGTTATGGAAACAACCCAAATGTCCATCAGTGGATGAATGGACAAAGAAGATGTGGTATATATGTACAAAGGAATATTATTCATCCTTTAAAAAAGAAGGAAAGGAACGTCTTCCATTTGTGGCAACATGGGTGAACCTGGAGTACATTATGCTCAGTGAAATAAGCAAGACAAAGACAAATACAATACAATTTCATTCAAGTCTAAAATAGTCAATCTCATAGAAACAGAGTAGAACGGTGGTTACCAGGGGTTGTGGAAAGGGGGAAATGAAGAGATGTTGATCAAGGGGTACAAAGTTTCAGTTATGCAGGTGACTAAGTTCTGGAGATCTGATGCACGGTCATGTGATGACGACTAGCAAAACTCTATTGTGTGCTTGAAATTGGCTTAGGGTGTAGATTTTAAGTGTTCTCACCACACAAATGCAAAACAGTAGCTATGTGAGGCGATGGATGTGTTAATTAGCTTGATTATGCTGATTATTTCACAATGTATACGTATATTGAAATATCAAGTTGTACATTTTAAATCTAAACGATTTTTATTTGTCAGTTATACCTTAATAGAGCTGGAAAAATGTATTTCATCTAATTACACCAAGCATTTTGAAAGTTATTCTATTTCTAAATTTAAGTACTCTCATTTTTAATATATGTATTTACAGGTTTATTTCTGAGGAAGGTATCATTATCCTCTTCCTTTAGAAAAGACAAGGTTCTAGTTACACTTTACCTGAATTATGAGTACTCATATATATAAATATGTGTGTGTGCACATCTGTATGTCTGTGAGCACCTGTGTGCGTGCATAAGTGGGAGTGTGTGTGTATTGTGTGCAAGTGTGTGTTTGCATAATTTTCCTTTACTTATCATTTTTTCCTCACTATTGCATTTCACTTTCTCCATTATGAGTTCATTGTTCTCCTAACTCAATTTCATCACTTAGTATTCCTTTCACTGAGTGTGTAAATAGTAAAATATCTAAGAACTTTCAGCTCTGGAAATGCCTTCTTTCACTTTTGTTCTCTTTATCAGGTTACTTGGAAACATTTTCTCATTTCAAATAAAGTGTAGGGTTCAACTTCCAGTTGAGGAAAATCCACCTGATGGTCAAGGATCCATCCCCCTAAAGCTCTTCTTTTCTCTCATGAAGAAGTGGTCTCATGTGGTGGGTGTAACATGTGAGATTCAGGTCAGAGTCTCCTCCTGTTTAGGGATCTGTCCCTGCTGACCATTTCATCTTTATCCCTTAAAAATAATTTGGATCAGGATAAAATTCTTCACAAACAATTAATTGCTGGAAGGTATTTCTACAATCTCTTTTGGCATCTATTTTGTCTAAGAGGATGTCTGCTCCCAAAGAGATTTTGATTCTATTGACAATTTGAATTTTCTCTAGGAAGTAATTTTAGGACTTCTATAGGGCCCAAGGGCAGTCCCTCCTCAATTTTTTTTGAGTTGAAATTCACATAAAATAAAACTTACCGTCTAAAGTGTACAATTCAGTGTATGATACGTATTTTTTTAAATTTGCCCTCCATTTTCTTCATTTACAATGAAGGGTCAAAACACAAATGTCATTTTTAATTACATGCTTCCTAATGTTTAGTCATTCCTCTTCTCTGTAAAAAGTTCAATTGTTTATCTCTTGAGCTGTTGCTAGACGTCATTTCCCTTCTTTCCTCTGACACTTACAATAAATATGACATCAGTCTTCCGCATTTTATTCTCCAAGTATCTTAAATTTCCTTTTCTGGTCTCTCTACTCTGAAATCTGGAAAATTCCCTCCTTAGTGTGTTCCAGTTTCATACTAGGTCCTTCGGCTGTCTTGTCCTTGAGGGGATGAGTGTTTTTAGTGTCTTAATTTTGCTGTAATTTTCATCACAAAGTTTGTAATTCAATTCAGTAGTTGCCTATTCTATGAAAACAATCCATAAACTTGAATCAAAAATTCCATTTCTCCATTTATTTTTAAGATATTTAAACATGTTTAATTTAAGATTACTCTCCTATTTTCCTGTTGACCCTATTCCTTGCATATGATATCCCTGTTAATCAGTAGCTCGTTGTTCATAGCACATTCGTCATGATTAGGATGACTCTCGACTGTCCATTCTTGTTAGAAGGCTCTGCTCCCACACACTTTGTCTGCCAGAGATGGTTTTCCCCAGGGCTGTCCCAGGAGTCAGGCTGACAAGGGGGAACTGTTACAGCCATTCCTGCCCCATGGCATCCAGGCTCTCAAACTTAGCATCTGCTCAGGGTTGTGCCCTCAGGGATGTTCCACTGGGAACCTCACGTTCACATGCGGGGAGGCACCCATAGCTGATGATACTGTATTCAATCTATTTCAGGATAGACAGGAGGGGTTGCTGAGTACTGACCACGGGCTCAGGGCAGTGGGCAGGTATTCCAGAGCCCACCTAGAAACACCTTCACCTGCAGCCCTGAACTTTCCCTTCTTGTAAGTATGGGGATCACCCTCTGTGTCCACACAGGTGATCTCCTCACTAGAACCCCTTGATGGTCCCAGGCACCAGTGGCCACTCTCCTTTGTTCTCTATTCTTTCCTGTGGTTCCATCACCATTATGGGAACTTTCATGTCTCTTTTTCTGCATGTGTCTGTGGCTATATATTTCAGAATATTGTAAGTAGGATTTCTCAGTGTTAGGAGCAGATGAGAGTTCTTGGCTGGGCACATCAACTATCCACTTGACTGTGGAGTCTGATCCCATGATCTCTTCCTGTCCTAACCCACTCATGTCTTAATCTTGCCTGGACAGTGATTGATCACTCCCATGAACTCATCACCACTGACCACCCAAATCACTCTGAGGAGTGGGGTTCACGACAGTGTGCTGCAGATGAGGAAAGTGAGGTTCAGAGATTGAGCATTAATTCTCAAGGTCACATGGGTAGTGGATGATGGAGGAATATTTATATAAGAAACAGATTTGCCCACAAATTCAGAGCACTAACCCACTCACAGGCTCATAAAGCTGAAGAAACGACTGCAGGATCAGGAGGGGAGCTCTGCACAAGAAAACCAGGGGTGCCAAGGGGGCAGTAATGACTCAGAGGTTTCTTCCCAGAGACAGCTGGGGGTGGATGCTGTTGAAAGAAAAAAAGAGAAGTCTGTAAAGGGGGCTGTGATAGAAAGAAACCCCACACTCTGGAACTAGGAGAAGAGTGATGTTTCCTTCCCTTATTTCCCTGTATTTCTCCTTTGTACTCATTGTCACAATGACCTCGACCTGAAAATTGAGCGTGTGTCTCTGCTGATCTGAGCTCTGCAGTGCACCAGGAACCTGCATCTTCCCCGCGGCATCTCCAGGGCCAGGATGACCACTGTCCGTGGTGAGGACACAATAGCAATGTTCTGATGGATGGGCTGAGGATGAAGGAGGCCCCATGGGGTCAGCTCTGAGAGGGAAGGACATGCCCGAGGTCTCCCTCATCTGGAAGAGGCATCACAGGAAGACACCACATCTACTTGCTGCTAAAACTTGGCCCTTGGTGACATGAGTCCAGATCAGGCAGACAGTGGCTGGAGGTGAGAGGAGAACTCGTTTTTGTCTGAAATGTTTCCAGAGAACCCAGTCCATGCCTCTGCCCCAGCCCTGCTAAAACAAGAGCTAGGCTCTGGGAGAGGACAGTTCCCCTTCCTGTGTGGCTGCTGCAATGACTGTGACTGGAAGGACCAGCCTCCTAGTGCCACACCCTGTGCATCTCTCAGTCCTTCTGAGCACTGTGGTCTCCTCCATCTGCACAACTTGGACCAGAGGTGGGAGACGTCATGATCCCCACTCTCACGGCCCTGCTCTACCTTGGTGAGATTTGAGGAGGGAGAGGGGAAGCCCTGGTCTGGGAGGGAACCCACCCCACAGCCAGGCCCTGGTCTGTCAGGAGACCCCAGGATTCAGGAGGCTCACGGTGAGAAGAGGTTCTTCTCATGCTTCAGGGGCAAATCTCTCACAGGGAACTCTCTTCCAGGGCTGAGTGTGGGCCCAAGGGCCCCAGAGAAGGCAGGAGAGTCTATCTGCAGGTGTCCCAGGTCCCACTTCCTCAAAGGGGACAAGAGGTCACCCCGAGCAGTTGGAGACTGAGAACAGCATGTTTGGGCTGAATGTGGGAGACTTCTGGGAAGTTCTGGAGCTGAACTGGGAAACTGGGGCAAGGGTGGCAATATATTGTGACCCAGACTCTGATTTCCTTCCAGGGACCCTCCCCAAACCCACTGTCTGGGCTGAGCCAGGCTCTGTGATCCCCTGGGGGAGGACCATGACCATCTGGTGTCAGGGGATTCTGGAGGCCCAGTAGTACTGTCTGGATAAAGAGAGAAGCTCATCACCCTGGGACCGACAGAAACCATGGGAGCCCAGGCACGAGGCCAAGTTCTCCATCCCATACATGACAGAGCAACATGCAGGGCGATATCGCTGTTACTATATGAGCCATATTGGCTTCTCAACACTCAGTGACCCCTAGAGCTGGTGGTGACAGGTAAGAGGACACTCAGGGGTCCCAGTCTCAGACTCTGTCCTCAGGAAGGGAGTCTGCTCTCATGAGTGTCTCCCTTCTCACAACCCAGCCCTGGAAGATATGAGGGAGGTGTGAGCCCCATTTTGCATGCTGCTTCCTCCTCTCCTAGGAGCATACAGCAAACCCTCCCTCTCAGCCCTGCCAAGCCCTGTGGTGACAACAGGTGAGAACGTGGCCCTACAGTGTGGCTCATGGCTGGGATTTGACAGGTTCATTCTGACTAAGGAAGGAGAACACCAGCCCTCCTGGACCCTGGACTCACAGCTAAACCTCAATGGGTATTTCCAGGCTCTGTTCCCTGTGGACCCCATGACCCATAGTCAAAATTGGACATTCAGGTGCTATGGCTGTTACAGGAACAAACCCCAGGTGTGGTCAGACCCCAGTGAGCCCCTGGAGCTCCTGGTCCCAGGTGAGGAAGTCCTTTCCTGGCCCCAACCATGTTTTGAGACATCAGACTGATTATTTGTGTCTTTATTCTCAGGAAATTGCCTTGTGAGAGGTGGTATGAGGGAAGCACGGGGATCCAGGGCCAGAGACACAGAGGGTGAGAGACAGTGAGACCTGGGGTCCAGGATGTACAAGGGGGTTTATGGGAGGAATCAGCCACTGCAATTCACAGGTGGTCTTTCTCCTAGGTGTGTCTGGGAATCCCTCCCTTCTGACTTAGTAGGGCTCTGTTGTGGCCTCTGGACAGAACCTGACCCTCCAGTGTCTCTCTGACGTTGGAAAGGTCAGATTTGCTCTGTAAAAGGAGGGGCTACATGGTCTCCCACTGTGCCTGGGTCTGCATCCCCAAGGAGGTATCTCTCAAGTTGACTTTCCACTGGTCCCTGTGAGACTCTCCCACAGGGCCAGTACAGATGCTATGGTGAACACAACCTCTCCTCCAAGTGGTCAGCCCCAAGTGACCCCCCCGGACCTCCTGGTGGAAGATCAAGAGACAGCGGGTCAGTCAGGGACTCCAGAAGTGCACAGGCCCTGTAGGGGAGCCCCAGGTGGTGATGTCAGGAAGAAGCGTGTGTGGTCTCCAGAGAGGAAGAGAGACAGAGAGACAGGGAATTGATGGGAGGAGACTCAGAGAAAACAAGACAGACAGAGATGAGGGTCCTCAGAGAGAGAGGCCTGGGGACTCTCAGTTCAGAACAAGGTGGGTGGGCAGCCCCTCACCCACTCTTCCGCTCTCTAGGACAGCTCCCTGACATACCCTCCCTCTTGTGAGGCCGGGCCCCACAGTGACCTCAGAAGAAAACATGACCCTGGTGTGTCAGTCACGGAGCTTGAGGGGCACTTTCTTTCTATCCAAGGAGGGATCATCTGATCCCCCCCTGCGTCTTAGATCAAATACCAACCTCAGCAGTACCAGGCACAATTCTCCATGAGTCTTGTGACGTCAGCCCACAGGGGGACCTACAGGTGTTATAGCTCATGCAGCACTTCCCCCTACCTGTTGTCACACCCACATGACTCCCTGGAGCTCTTGGTCTCAGGTGAGGGGCCCCTGTCCCTATCCTTTCTGAGCTCAGTCAGCTCAGGGCTCTGTCCTCAGGAAATCTGAGACAGTAATAAATGAGGGGCACAGGGGAATCTCCAGAGAAGGGGATGTTCAGGAGCCCCTGACTCCAACCTCCAAACCATGAACTCTGTTGCCTCAGCTGTTCAGTAAGGGGGGCTCTCAGCTGTAGGGGAAAAATTACGCATTCTTATATCTAAGACTGAGCAGAGGATGCACAACACTCATTATTTCTGTGTTGGGAGACCTAATCCATATTTCAACCTAATCGTTAGCTCTTGGGACACAGCCATACTCTTCCAAAGCGACTCAGATGCAGGTTCTGAATTCAAAGAACAGGGACGCTGAGGGAATTCCACCGAGGAGACCAGAGGGAACCTGGTGAAAGGAAAGACGGGTTCATTAAGGGATTATATAAAAGTTCAGATATGAGAAGTGGGGAATATGAGAGCAAAGAACCCAGGAAAAAGGTTTGTATCTACCCAACTCTTCATTCACTCCTTCATTTTATGATTCTCAGAAGTAGCTGATGCCATCAGTTCATCACGAAACAAGTCAGACCCCAAGAGTGGTGAGTAGGAGAAATTCTCAGTTCCGGAACTGCTAAGGAGTCAATAGGAGGCGGGTGCCCTGGGTGGACATCCAGGGATCCTGGGGTGATTTTGGTCTGCTCTGACCTCTGTGACCTCTTTGTCTACAATTCCTAGCCTCACACCCCCAAGACTACACAGTGGAGAATCTCATCCGGACGGGCATGGCTGGTTTGATCCTGGTGGTCCTTGGGATTCTGCTATTTCAGCCTTGGCACAGACAGACAAGGACCCAAGATGCAGCCAGAGGTAAACACAAGAGAGAACAATGCACTGTTCAGAAGGGCAGAACCTTGGAAATGCATCTTACATGTCGAGGAGTTTCTCGGAGAAAATCTGCAGCATATGTTGGTTGAACTGTCTTTGAGGATCTCGATGGAGTAAATGTGGTTTGGGTACAGGAAAATGTCTAGGTGTTCCCAGTCTGGCAGTTCCTTGACTGCCCTCCCGTCTTTTCTCACTACTGAAACATGGGGTACGTCTCTCACCTTTATCCACCTTCATGTTCTGGTCCACTGTCTTGTAACACATTTTTCTTTATTTTTAAATTCCGCATTCACTGACGTGTGCTCTTGACCTGCATCTCTTCAGCCCAGAAACAGAATACTGTTTAAATACCTGAATAAATGGGTGAATATCAAGTCCTGTTTGAAACAGATAAAAACAAACCCATTTACTAAAATCCCCTCTAGACCTGTCAAACCCTTCTCTTTCTATCAGATGATACCTGGTATAGTTTCTTTAGGAATACCACCAGTTTGAATGAATGTACTGGTGTTTGAAGAGACAGCTTGGTGGTGAGCTGGTAAACCAGCTTTATTAAAAAGTCATTTTCCCAAAAGCACTTATTTGCGGCACTTGTCTATTTCTTTGGTGTAAATACTCACTTCATGGCCAACTTTAAGATGCCAGTGTGAATGTACTGAATTCAGAGTTGGGGAGTAACAAATAGAATTGTCTTTCTCAGGTGAGTAGGAGCCAGAGGCGGCTCGCCTCACCAATAGCCCCATGTGGACAGTTGTTTCCTTCTATATTAAATGTCATTATAGCATTGTTTCCTATTCTATTTATGGCAGTTTCAATGAAATTATGATGTCACCACCCTAGCACATTCATTTAAACACAAAAGAGAAAGCAATGGCAATATCAATTGTGGGAGAAAATATTGAGTCTTAGAATAGCAATACTTTATGGGTAGGAGTACAAATTGCCTCAGCCAGCTTTTACAGTAGATAGTAATTATTATTCAAAGAAAGAGACACTCATCTCTGACCTATAAGTATATTCCCTAGAGGAAAATGTGTGCATGTGCATAATGATACATTCATGAGACTATCGACAGGATGTTGTTCATATCCGACAAAATGCACAGAAATAAATCTCACAACAAATGACTAGTTTGGTATATATACGCAGTGGAAATTTATACGTTAGTAAAATTCACAAAGTAAAACTACTACAGTAATACAGATCCTTTTTTAACCATAATAGTGAACGAATGGAAAAAATTATGGGGAGTGTAGAAGTGTGTGGGTTACTGAATTACGTGAAGTTCAAAGGAGAAATATTTATTATTTATGGAGGCATAATTAAGTTTAATCTTTTAAATAAACAAAGAAAAATTCCATGCAATCCCAGTGATTGTTACATACAAGGTGAAGTGGGAAGGTTTGGTCAAGATGGAAACCACAGTGCTGTGAGAACACCGGTAATATTCTTCTTGACTTTCATTTCGTGAACTTATGTCAACTCATCATTATTGGTAGATAGTGCATTTCTGCTATAACCTATCATCATTGCCCATGCAATTTAGTGAGGTGGGGTTGAAGTAGGGTGGTGAAATCCACATCCTACACTAGTGACTAATTTCCAACAAAGTGGCTGTTAATCAGTTATAGCAAACACCTCATGTATTGGCCTTGTGTTTTCCACAAAACGTGACCTCCACCTACCTGATTAGCCTCACCAGAGTCCAATCAGACAATGAGCTTCTGCCTGGGTGAGAAACTGGGCCTCTGAAGAAACACTTTGTCCAATACCAGATGGTATGCAATTCAGAATTTAAACTGGCTCCATGTGAATTTCTGAAGATATCATGAACCAAGAAGCTAAATTCAGATGGAGGCCACCAACATGGGTGTGATAGTTAATTCAGAGATGGGGTTCAGATCCATTATGCAGTAGTGTGAGGATCACAGAAAGACTTGGTTACAGACGGAACCATATTCAGGATGCCTGGGCTCTGCTTGGTCCTCAGTGAGGGGAATAGAGAGCTCATGGGGGAGAATTCCTGTGGAATTCCTATGTGAGACCTTCTTGTATGCCACGTTCTGTGCCTCTGTTCTCTCTCACTCCATTATCCCCTCATCTGACCCAAACTATGCAGGATTTGTCCTGGACTTGACCGCCTGGAATGGAAGGCAGGTGGACTGCACGGAAGTTAGCCCAGCTCAGATCCAAGGACACTGGAGACTGTGTGGTACTCAGCAGCCTTGATCCCTCTTAACTTGGGACCTTTACCTATTCCACTTCTTCTCTATGGAATTCTTAACACTCTTGTCTACTTCCACTAAGACTGCTTCACATCTGTCAGCTCTATCCTCTAACTTCACCTTCACAGGGTTAATCTTCCGTGATGCCCAGACTAGTTATGATCCTCTATTATCTAATCTCCAATCTCCAAAGATTTATTCTACATAACACACGTCACAGTGTATAATTAAATATAGTTTGTAACTATTTACATAATATCCATCACATCCCCATAACTAGCAGGGATCAGAGAACAGGATCCATGTCAGTTATGCACATACTTCAGTCTTCTTTGTCAGCACATTGTGTGAAATATGGTTGATATTTGCATAGAATGGGTGGATGAATGGATTGATTGTCAACAGAAAAGAGATAAGACAGGAATGTTTATTTCACACAGTAACACACGCACGGGCACACACACACACACACACACACACACACTCTCAATCTACTGTAAATTAAGCCGACAATCTCCCCTGATGACTTCCCCTTGAGTTGGAGTAAATTGACCAACTACCTGTTCCATGGTCCCAAAACCATCCTCATTATTCTTCTTCACATTGATGCAGCATAACAGAGAGACAACAAACTGAAAACAGCCAATCAAATACCAAAACAAAATCATAGAGCTAGAACCAGTTGTATACTTTGTGAGGTCCAGCGAAAAATGAAAATACAGGGCCCCATGTTTAAATTTAAATATAGCAAAAGCAGAACATTAACCCAGTCTGGAGCCCTGTCTGGTTGTCCAGCTCATCACCCGTGAATCTGGCCCTGCATGGAGCAGTGCATGATTCAGCCTCCTGGATGTCAGACCTTAGGCTTGTTCTGCACACACCCCATCACTGAATCTTCACCACGTAACAATTAGGTGGGAGAACTCTCCTTCTTTGTAAGAATGATTTCAAGCTCATGAAATAATTTGCTTAAACACACTGGATTAGGACAACCATTTCAACTATTTATACGTCTTCTGCCCAGCTCACTGCCCCCTGACTCAGTCTTATCCTAGAACTGTCCCCAGTAGCTGGCAGGACCCTCACTCCCAGCTCCGTGGTCTCAGTTTCTGTCTCATGTCCAGTATCAGTAATTTCAAGGCAGGCAGCTGTGTGAAGTGGGGAGCCAGCCTATGAAGTCAGGGTGATCTGGAATCCATTTCCAGATGGAAACTTAATGGAAGCTTGATCCTGAAGAACAGACAGAGTATCCCTAAGCCTTGGTGCTCTCATCAAAAGCAAGATGATATTTGTGGGGTGGAGAGGATTCTAGAAAAAGAAAAGTCCCAATGACAGTTCCCCTCACCACTTTGGGCCCTTCCTCAAAGGAAGAAGGGAATAGACTGGGGGTTCAGGGGACCTCAGCCCTCACAGTCCACACCAGGGGAATGTGAGCTGATGGTCCCCCCTTTAACACCACTCACTCATTCTCCCTCAAGAGTATATGATGCACCCTCATTCTCAGCCCATGACAGACCCTGTGGTGGCATCAGAAGGCAATGTGTCCCTCTCGTGTAGTTCATAGCTCACATTGGGCACTTTCCAAGTGCGAAAGGAGGGAAGAGCTGACCTGCCCCATCACGTGGAACTGAGGCTCTATCCTTAAGGGGGCAGGCTATCTTCCATGTGGGCCCAAAGAACACCTCCCATGGGGGACCTACAGATGACGTATCTTTTACCCCTATGTGTGGTAACACTTCAGTAACTCTTTGCGTCTTGACGCCACAGATGAGTCCCTGACCCACCTCTTTCCTGGGACCTCGAAATGACTAACCTAAGCTGTGTGCCCAGTGGAGCTCTGAGGTTGATGTGGTGTCGGTGACATGACCTCCTGGGGCTTATACCACATAGTGGGATGTTTGCAGGGTAGACCAGCAAGAACTCTCATTGCAGACTCCAGTGGGCAATGTGGGGTGTGCATCCCCTGCGAAGTAGCTGTCCCCTTCTGTCCTGCTGTGTTTAAGGAACACTCCCTCTCGGTCCAGTCAGGCTGACTGGTGCTCTCTGGAGACAACCTGACCCTCCAGTGTCACACGGAGGCCGACTTTGACAGATTCATTCTGATAACTACAAGGGACTCATATTCCTTTCCACCATCTTCATGGATAGCAATGCCCTGAATTCCCTCGGGGCCATGTGAACCACACCCAGGTGAGTCAGTACAGTGCTATGGCGCACACACCTCTCCCATGCATGATCAGCCCCAAGATCCCCCGTGGTCATCCTGATCATGGGTGATGAGCCCCTGCTCTGTCCAGTATCCTGATTGTCTGCCCAAGGCTGCCCTTAGTGGTGATGGGGTCCAGCGAGAGGGTTCTGAAGCAGAGGCTGAGATGGGGCAGTGATTGAGGGATAGTGACTGAGACAGGGGAGTGAGGGGCAAGGAGATAAAACAGACCCACACAGAAGGACTGGGAGGAGCTGAGAGGGGGTCACAGATAGAGTCCCTGGAGAGAGGACTGTGATCCCTCAGCTTGGGGTCAAAAGCATGTGGGAATGGGGCAGATCTCTACACACCATAACTTTATCTCCCCTAGAATGTAGGACAAATCCTCCCTCTTGGCCTAGCCAGGGCCTTCAGCACCCTGGGGAGAAAACATGACCCTGCAGTGTCACTCTGAGACCTGGTAGGATACCTTCCATCTGTCCAAGGAGAGGTCACTTGACCTCCCCAGCACCATCATCTGCAGGACATGGCTGCACTTTTTCAAGCCAACTTCACCATCAGTCCTGTGGTCTCAGATCACAAGAGGACCTACAAGTGATATGGTTCAGACAGTGCCGCCCCCTGCCTGTTCTCACAACTAAGTGAGGCTCTGGAGCTCCTCGTCTCAGGTGAAGAGCTCCCATTCCATATCCATCGAGAGTCCAGACCCTCAGCTCATAGCCCTGTCCCATGAGAGCTCAGCTGGGACTTGAAGGAAGGAGCAACAGGAAGGTCAGCCACAGGAGGATCTCACCTCATAAAGGGACGGAAAAGATAGGCATTCCCAAACGTTCTCCATGCCTTACCCCCACTAAGGGACCAGACAGTGTGGTTTGCATGCAGGGAAGAGACTGAAGAGTGTAAACATTGACCTTTGAGGGAAAACAATGGGGCTAAAGGTGACAAGAAGGGGCAGTCATAGCCTCACAGCATTCTTCTGTCCTTGTTCCAAGTAATATTTGAGATCTTCAGACCCTGACCTACATGGATCAACTTCATGTCTGTTGAGTAGCAGAGTCCTCTTACCCTAGAGGAATCACAGACTCCACCAGGTGTTTGCTAGTTTCCTAGCTTATCCCACAACAGGACAAATATTTATGGAAGGGA